TTATCTAGAGTACTCCTGCACTTTTAATTATTAAAAAGCTAAACCTATTGATGTGCTAAGGAAAGAGGGAAAAGAAGCAGGGGGRAAATGCTGCTATAATATACAGAATAGCAACATATGAATACAAGCCATTCATTAATGATATGACTGCACAGTTGGCTGGCACTTAGGAGCACCAGGGATGCTAAAAGCCTCCCCTTCCTCCATGGGATAAACCTTAACCAAGGGCTTTGCATGTACCAGCACCCAGATGCTAAAAAAAAAAAAAAACAACCACACACCACAGTTTAAAAACCTCAGCTAGACAGTATTGGGCTACTACTTCTAGTAGCTTCTACTACTTCTAGTAGCTTCTCTGCCATTTGTGGCCCCATCTTCTCTTTGAAGATCAGTCAGACTTGGAAATAGGTGAAAGAAGACAGCTAAAAGAAAAGTCCCTGTACTTTCCTTCCAGTCCCTGTACATCCCATCCGTAAAGCCCAGCCCAGGGCGACATTTGACTCTTTTCTTCAAGTCCCGCCTGCAGAAATGCAGTGACTTCTTGACTGTTTTTTGTCACTACCTCYGAGCTCCTACTTCATTCCTTGGAGAATTCGACCTTCAAGCACATTTCACAGCAATGGTCACCTCCAAACAGCCCTTCCTCACTGTGTTGTGTCCCCAAATTGCTGCCAGAGGCCCCTCGCCCGCCCCGGCCCTGGGAGGCTTTGCTGAACAGCGGTGTTTTGTTTCCAACCCACAAGAGGCCACACAGACCCGCCAGCTCYGAGGCAGCGCTACAGGCTCCCAAGAAGGGATCTGACATTCCCTTTTGTTCTCATTTCTATAGCATTTTCTCCTTCAAGAAGGTTATTTGAAGTAGCTGGTACTGACATTTAGCTAATTGTGAAATATGAATTGGAATAACTGTTCATAGGTAGTGATGCAATGCAGGACAGGATGTCCCACTGGAGGGCCCTTGGCCAGAGCACGCGTAATATATGATCCCCATTTCAAAGCTGGCCTTGCTTTTCTCCCTCACCCACACTAATTAACCCACAAGCCCCAGCAAAGAGATGCTACGTTTCATCCCAAGCAGATTTTTCTGATCCTGTCCTCAATCCTAAATCAGAGAGACCTTCCATCTCTCTCTAGCAAAGCAGATACAACTTGCTGAAGAAGAAAGAAAAAAGTTATGTGACCCAAAAGAATGTGACTCTCTCTTTCTGTCCCTAYTGCAAAAATTTCCCCCAAATTCCCCATGTATAATTAGCTCACTGGGGAAAACAAACAAAGAGAAAACAAAAAAATAAAGCTGTTTCCAGAAAAAAAGCCGAATTAGCCACAAAAGCCATCGGTACGCTTCCTGAAGCTCCCCAGGGACAAGGAAAGCAGAACTCCCAGGAACAGACACTCTGCACCATCTCCCAAGGACTTGGCCCTTCTGGTTCAGCAGTTGCCAGAGACACTGGTCTAGCCTTAACATTTACTTGAAAGCGTCCACTAGCCCTCACTGCTGYAGTTAAAGGCCACTATTAGTTAGGTCCTCCCATTTTTAACCTCTTTCTTTGGAAATGGGATGCCTGGGCTTGTTTTGGAGCACTTCCATGCTCTCCTGGGCCATGTCACGCCTCAACATCCAGACATCCATACCCACGGATCGACCGTGCTGCTCACAGGCAGACACCCAGCTCTTTCAAGAAACCTCAAGATCCATTTTATACCTTTCACTCACTTGGCACCTGTTCTGTAAAACCCACATTGATCCAAAATGCCAAATTTGTGCAACAAGACTAATAAACCTTAAGGAGCATCCGACTTTCCACAGGCAGAGACTTCTCCGGGAAATTTCCTTCACTGATGATCACGGTGGCACTGATGCTCTCATACCACTGCACAAGCAGTAAACCCCACTTCTGGGCATGCCTAAAACCTTGGCCATTTAAATCAGCCTGTGATAATACATAACAGAAGACAAAAATTACCAGTGCTATACATATTTCAGAGCAGCTTAGATGCAAAGGAGAGGCTGCAGATCTACTGGGACACATCAGGGTCCACCACATCGCACCTCTCAGCCCAAAGGCCAACACAAACAAGAAGGTTTCCCAAGCGAAAGCCTTTTTACCCATGTTCAGAAGGTCCCCCAGCCAATCTCACCGTTCAGGGACTGATCTGCACCCAGCACGTTCCATCCTGGAGGCAGCTTCAGGTGCCGAAACGCCAAGGCCACTTTCTCATCCAGAAACTCCACATCGGCGGCAGGCGGCCTCGAGCGGTCCAAGAATCTGGTGAAGTTCAGGGCTTGCTGGTTGCCGGCACATGTGGCTAGAAACTGTGCTGCATCATAGGCTTCGTCCTGAATAAACTGGAAACTCTCTTCTGCCACAACCAGAACTGGGTGCCCTTCCTTAGAAGCACAAAGTGCCACCTTCACGGTCTCACAGCAGTCATGGCCTGCAAACCAAAACAGAGAAACTGGGGTAAAAGGGAGAAGTTGAGCAGGCTGAAGAGCAGCAGGTCCATAAAACTCCTCATAGGCGTTTGCTTTACATTGAATCCAACAGCCATGGATTAGAGTGACAACTGTTATTAAATGCATACTTAGGAAATTTATATCTGTTACAGACAAAATTTTTTTTGCATATTTTAAAAAGAAAAAGACGGGAATTTCTTCTTTTTTAAAAAAAAAATCCACAATATAAACCAAGAAATATCTAAGCCCTTCTTATCAGACCTGTCTCTTAAGTAAGACACAAGAAATCTCAATATTAACGATGACAAAGAAAGATTTTCTAATACATAAATGGAAGCTAGGGTCCAAACCTCTAAATTACACAATTCCTTTTCTCTTCCAGTTACTCAGTGCTCCAGTAACTCACCTAGAATCTGAGGGCTGTAAAACTACACACTCCAAATGCTGCAACAGTGTTTGGCTCATACAGAAAACASGGAAATTTCACTTAACACGGAGGACTAAGCAGCAGGAATTGCTATGGGAACATAGTCTGTGCAGGCATAATCTCTGCCTGAAAGCCCGTTGACTTCCAGGATTCAAGCTCCAGGCAAACCTGGCCCAAGGGGAGTTACAGAAGAACGAAGGGCAGACGTTTCCTTCTCCTTGGCATGAGGCTGGGCAACTCCTCCATCTATGTGACGGCAAAGGCTCCTCAACTCATGACAACAACAGGAGAAACTGGTACATCAGACAAGGAGGAACCAAGCTGACCAAAGTCCCCTTGTACCCGTGAGAAATGCTGCACCAAAAGCAGCGACCAACGCGATGCAGTGGGAGATGACAAGCAGGTCATGTTCTGATCTGTAGCCAGCAATGGTTTGCTTGAAACTCCCACAAATACGTAATATAGCCTTGAAAGAGAAGTGACAGAGCTGATAATTCATTTACAACTAATAGGTTCAAACAAGCATCCTGCTAAACCCAAGGGAATGTTCTTCTAAAGGGCAACCCCTYGCAAGGCTTTGATGTTCTCCTTCCCTACATCTGACAAGATGTCAGACTTGGGGGGTAAGAGGCTGGGACAGGTTCTGACTTTGGCAACCAGTTCAAAAGAAAGAGGAGCAATTAAGAACCGCGGCAAATACTAAAAGATTGCTCAAGAGGTCTCTGCCCCCTGCTTTGAAACAGCTACAGGAACGATGTAAGCAAACATCTCTCAAATACATCAATGCACACAGAGCCTTCTGAAGGACTCGTCAGTGGGGCAACACTTCTCTCCACATCAAAGACCCTCGCTTCCTTCCCCTGCCCTAATATCTGAACTTCAGCAGTCTCTTTCCAGAGCACGTTAAATAGCTTCAGAGAGAGAATGAGCTAAGCTTTCTGGCATTCTCAGGAGATAAGTGGTTATCATCTGTAAAACAAGCCCAAATCTGTTTTTATGAGGCTAAGTAACCTGCTCAAGAGCTCGAGGCAGAGCTAGCATAGATTCCATTATTCTTAACTGTCTCTCTCCTGCTCCAGCTGGTAGACAGCAGGGGATTTTCTCCTATAGGTTAAGTACCAAACCATGCACCTTGCCAACACAGGCATCGTGGTATGCAGCCTTTCTCCTGCAGTCACCATACAATTTTTGCAGCCATCAGGGCACTTAATCATCATCTACTGTACTCCCTTGTACACCTCTCCCAGCCCAGAAGTGGAATAAAAGAAATAAGATTTGACTCATTAAAAGGTGAAAAGCTGGGTGTGCCAGGAAGAAGGGTGGGTCTATTTATAGTCTGTTTATAAAGACATGCATGTTAGAAGGCTGAAAATCCACGTGACTGAATAAATCACGTGCACGAGTGAGCAGGCAAGGGAAACACCGCGTAGCATGACCAGGTTTGCAATGCTAGGGGACACTCCTCCTCACCAACTTCATCTTTCCAAAAGTTTTGGCCCAAAACAGCAATTCAAAGCAAGTGATAAAGAACATCATCAAACTACTATCCTCTCAAAATAATCCAATCAGAATTTTAGCTCTTCTGACACACATTACATACTTTCTACCATCACTGACTTCTCAGACTGTGAGTACCAGCTTTCATACTGTTCTATTGCCCAGAAAACCTTTCCCATGTAGACCTGGATTCTCTTATTCAGAAGGATTTTTTCGCCACAGTATGGAAACTAGGTAATTTCTATGCTGGCCTAACTGTGATAAAAGTGAAATAACCTAACACTTCATTCTCCCTAAATTGCATTTCAGTCCATTTATTCTTTAGCTACTTTTGTTTGGAAACAATTCACTACTTAGAGCTGCTTACATAACGGAGGAAAAAACATAGRAATTATAAAATTATTGTGGCCCATGCAGAAATGGGTGCAATAATTGTTGCTGACAGGGAAAAGCTTCTTTGCTTTCTCATCTTTACAYAAAAACACACTTCAAAACTTGTTTTAAATAAGTCAGCTGTTAAACCAGAGAATTCCTTACCAGGCCACTTACACAAACTTGCTTTGGGCAATACATACAAAAAAAAAGTCTTGAAACCCTTATTTTGGGTACTTATCCCTGAAGAGAGGAGATGCATCACTGTGATACCACTGTCTCCTCTCCATAATAATGCTGGAAAACAGTGAGCAGGCAAAAGAAGCTGGAGATTCTGCAGCTGTTGGGAGTTAGCAGACAAGGTAACTTGGAATTTTAAACCGGGCCATCGAGCTCCTATCCATACCTTTGATCTGGGGCACGTCTAGAAGGGTGCCAGCATTGCTCTTAACAGACTTTTTATCATTAAACAAGGCRCACACGGAGACAAAACATCGTTGCTCCTAAACAGAGCTTTCCTAAAGCATGATTTCATTTCCTACRCTCCTCTAAAAGTGGAAATCCTGTCTAAGCCTCCTATTTTCAGAATTCTCATTTAAGTTTTCAAACAATGGGCCCCAAGCTCGACCTGCTATTTAAAGCCCACCTGGAAGYGCATGTTTGCCTTTGCCGGGTAGATGACTAAGGGCTCCTGGTGCTAATTGCACCCTTGCAGTTACCATGACAGGGCTGAGCTTCACCAGCTCTTCTGAAGGGCTCCAAGCAGGGAGAAAAGCCATGACTTGCATGCAACCTCCAGACTTTGCAACCAAGAGATATTGCCATCTGGTGGCTTGTTCACAGGGAAGGGATCCTCTATATAAGAGATTTTTTTTCCTGCTCCCCGTTTCAGAAATGCAGAATTCCAGTTGTAAAAATCAAGTGTGTATCTGCAGCGTGCAAGCACTTCACACAACGACTGCATTCAGCACAGGAGACCTTATGAAAAATGTGGGTGCAGCCCAGCCTCACACTGCTGATTTCCCKTTCCATTTTAAACCCTCAACTATTAACACAGGGAGTGCAGAAAGCTTTAAAGTCCCTTCAAGCTACACGCATCTTAAAAACCTACCGAGGTTTAAGACCCTACATATTACATCATAAATAATTTCAGYACAGACTCAATCAGTTTTTCCTGTGACTGATGTCATCTAGAACTGGTATCATTTCCTTTTAATTATAATGCCTACAGCAATTAAATATAACAAAGAGGATAGTCTGCAAAAAGTCTTCTTGGCTACATTGTTTTATTCTAATTTTGGACTTTTTTGTTGTTGTTTCATAATTAAGAGTATTTTAAAACAAATCCACAACTGGTATTGCCAAGTGGTCACTTGTTATGCAACTTGTTTACCCTTTTGGTCTACCAATACAAAGATGGTATTTTATGAAACAGAGGTTTTTTTCTAAGAAAAGTTGTTTCCTAAGGGAAAACATAGCCTTTGGTAAAAGAATAAAGCATGAACACATGTAAAAGATTTCACACTAAAATAAAAAGTTTTAAACAAGATATTTCCCAGCTAATTAAAATTCATTTCAGCCTATTCTTTTAACTAGCAGTAACAAAGTAGAAAAAAATTTAAGAACTACAGGAATTAAAAGGGAAAAAAAGGGCAAAACCTGCTCCTCCACCTCCGCTTAGCTATGAGCAGAAAGATCACTGTGAGTCAAGGCATCTGGAGTAAATAGGAGTGTTTCAGCTCTGGAAACTGCTGGCAGACAGCCTCTTATTTTGTGTCTCGTTTTTTTTTTTTTCCTTCCTCTCCATTAAAACCCATAGAAGAATCTTGTACCTTTGGAGACCAACAAACAAGAAAACACAATTTAGGTTGCTTTTTTCCTGCAGAGAAAGCTCAGAGTGATACAACAAATTGCAAACACACACGTAGATCTGGCTACATCTCATAAAACTACCTGAGTACCTGTTTCAGGACGTGGCTTACAGACCTGAGGCTCTTGTCCTGCACGTGCTTGGCTACTCGCTGCCGTGCCGCTGGGTTTATGGTCCTAGCCGGTCTTTCCATGTTTTGATGCTCTGAGCTCCTTTTGCTACATAGCTGTTAAATGCACCTCTGAATTTGTGCTCAGGAAGAGGGCTATTATGGCACTCTCAGATAATGACACTAATGAGGACTTGCTGAAAAGCTCAGTTTAAGATTAACGTTAACTTGGAGAAGTAATGCAACAGAAGTGGACACATCCGTGCTAGGCCCAACCTGTGTCATTTCAGTCGCCACAACAATTCAGCCACAACAGCAGAGATCATTTTCTCTCTCTACATCCTTCCCTGCTTAGGCCTCAGGTATTTTCTTGATACCAAAACTCCAGTTGTCACAGTCTCTTGGAACTGATGACACCTGAAGTGGTGAGGAATCTACGCCAGCTGCAGCTCCGTCTGCTCTACAGATGCAGCTAAAGACACGGAATGACGCATCTGATGAGGCAAGGCTGTAACTGCTCTGCCCAACTAAGTGCCTCCTGTCTTAAGGAAAATATCTTAGATTATGGAAAATTTAGAGCRGATCATTTCAAAATTGATGCATCTTAATAATGAAAGTGAAGCAATGACAAAATAAGTGTTTGGCACCTTTACACCTAGGTGAGCAGAAAGCTTAATTGCACTATGCAACTTGATTTGTGCTCAGG